TCTCTTCCCTCCGATATCCCCATCCCATCTCTGTCGCTCTCGTTCTCTCTTTTTCTTTTCTCTCCTCCCCTTGCCCCTCTTTCTATTCATCCCTCTCTCTCTCTCTCTCTCTCTCAACATAACTATATGTCCCTCATCGTTTCGCAAACACAGAAGACCGACCATAAGTGTACAATGTCACCAGCAGCACTTTATCATTTAGCAAACTTTTATTCATCAAAATTGGTTTCAAAACGACACTCAACGTTGACCTATGACTGCAGGTTTGAAAGCAGTGAATTTCTACTTTGACATTATGTATGACACTTTTAGTTCAATATGAAGGAAACATGTAAAACGACTGATAGAATTTATAAAAAGGACAACATAATTGCTTAAAACATAAAAACACAGTTTCTTTTTGAAAGAAAAAGAAAGACAAAATACCGTATGGTAGGCAATTAACATTTTTAAGGTCACTAAAGTTTTCTTTGATTCAAACTTGTAACATAACACTATATTTCTTTCATTATCAGAGTATCACTTATGAACTAAGAAAAATAGTACAAAAACGACAGATCCTTGCCGTCACAAAATGTAGAATGTACACTGCCCTCATTATTAATTCATACATAATCATGTTATCATTACGAAAATGATCGTTCGTAATAATTTCTCTCTCACGTGCTTGAAAGAGCATTACCGTGATTACTAATCATATTTAATTGCAAGAAACTCTACAAAACCACGTAGCAGATAGTATCTCCGAAGTCGCTTACTAGCTGTAATACATAAACATGATACTCAAGAAAACGTATGTGTGAACAATTCCAGACTGGATAGCATTGTACGGAAGCCTCAAGGAACGTCATACATACTTGAGGCGAAGAACAAACTCTATAGAAAACAATATACAAAACTATATATAACACAATATACAAAATCACTCTCAAAACTATGAGGTTGCACAATTCTTGGATACAAACATCGAAATAGTATTACATGTATATATATATATATATGTACATGACTTTTTCTTTCCATTTTAATTTTTAACTCGAAAATAAACAAACAAAACTCGTAAAAATTCGTCTTTTACATCACAAATTTCGACTAGGCTTATAGTCTCAATATTTCCATACTCGTTCAAAATATACATCAAAAGTATCTGAATCCCAGAATAAGATTACAGTTATTTCACAATCTGTTTGTTGCTCATGTTGGCGATATTTGACACATATTGTACGTGAAGCATTGGTGTCACATGAATTAAATGAATATCATGTGAAATTCCAATTATTTACAAGTCTTGTAACATAATTATTACAACAAACTGCAACGTAACCTTGTTACAAACTGTCACTCATAGATTTGTTTTAAAACAACTACAACAGTTTCTGTTGGAATGATATAATTGTTTTCATCATTGACATACTATATTTAATAAAAAAATTTACAAGTAAAAAGCAAATGTCCGTGGTCGTTTCAAATATGAAACTTTGTTTTGTATGAAAATCTGGAAACATGTATGCAAGGGTAACAACTAGTGTATAAATGGAAAATTGAGAATTATAGTATATTCTCCAGGTAATTAGATTGATCAGTGTAGCGACAGTCAAGAAAACAACGGAATCTTCAAAATCTCACACAAAAAATAATATCATAATATTTACATACTAGTCAGTAAACGATACAGGCCAACATGTCAGTGTGACAACAAACAGCAGCAATTAAACAATCCATACATAGAGGCAAACAAAACCATTGAAAGGGGTTCTTCTTCGGAGAGGTTTGGCATAAATACTCTCAGTATTCTGTAAATGCATTTTCAGTAACATTATATAGGCTATGTACAAAAGAATACTGTTAATTTCTTAAAGATAACACTCATCTTCTGTACTAACTTGAAATAGACCTTGAACTTTGAACTTTAAGATTTGATCCAACTGAACAACAGGTTAAGTGACTTTCTTGACGTGGTAAATAAAGTGAAAAAAGATAAGAAAAAACATCCTCAAATAAACTGTAAAATATTTATACACAATCGTGTAAATATCAAACCAACATTGTATTTTTTATCATATTTTGGTTTTTCCTATTTCTTCTACTTACTCATCTGCACATACAGGATATAAAATCAAGTATATAAACAAATGCACAAATACAAACTATGAATAACAATCTTCTTAACAGTTAAATCATATTTGTAACAGAATGCATACAATTTCTTGACAATCATAAGTGTCCTATATAATACAAGTGTACGTGGAAAACAAAGGAGTCTTCGGAAACTATTGAAGATCATAGGTTATTCTGTTCGTAACGGAACCAAATTGCAAATTCTTTTAGATCGGGGCTCCATGCACGTATGCTCAGTACAAACCAATAATTTAATATAATCAGTAGGGAAATTATTGTTTCCCTTCAATTCTCAAAGGTTACACTACATCATGTAATGTACATTATAATCAATATATACATACACATTATGATAATAAAGAAAACATACACCCCATAATAGCTCACAGGAGTGGTATACTCCGTATAGAAAGACTAACTGCGATATCATATTGTCAGTAAAATTACCAAAAGAGTCACTCAAGATTCTACAAAATCATGAAATACATTATTTGAGATAAAATGGAATGTGCCAATTTCATGAACGACACATAATTTTCGGTCATTAACTTGAGCACAAGTTCATGGGAAAAACGCTCTTTTTGTATTAACAAGAAAACACTTGTGTGAATGAATATATAGAATGCTGCCCTTGAATCTCGTGTTGAACAAATTCAGTGAAATTCAATAACATTACATTATAGTTCCGTGTGCATAACTATATACATTGTACTTTGTTTATAATTTAGTTGTAATATCACAAAATGTTCTGTACATCCTAACTGTGAGCTAAAGACACATTATTTACAATCGATTCATTCCGTACTGTTTAAGCAACAGTGTATGCGAATAGATGTTTGCGAAATATATAGAATAAAATCATACACTCTTTCATTCAGTAGCTGATTGGTATATTCTCTTTCCTACGTGCAATTAAATTACTGTAAATAAGTTCAAAAAGTGTCAGCAAACAATGTTATTTATGCAGTTGAGATCCAACTTCTGTACAAACGTGCGATATATATATATATATATGAATTCACCTTCTAAAATGCATCACTATCAACGCGTCCATGAAATTTCTCTGTCGGTATATTTTGAAGCAAAAAAAAACAACAACAACATCCCTAAGTCTTGAAAATATTATTCAATATTATTTCAATGAGTTAAAGTTAAACATGAAGTTCATGTAACAGATATAATTCAGGAGAATAGAGTACATCCATTTATCTTGTCTAAACTCATCCAGATTACTATCATGATCTGGTAAGTTCCGTAAGTGCGAATCGCCACGGTAAAACTTTCGCATGAGTGAAGGGAAACAAACGACCCTTTTTTCGCAATTCAGCTCAAATTCTTACGATATAACGGGTGTATATTACAGGTATTTTATTTTTGTCAATGTTGTTGTGTTGAAATAGTTCAACCTTTAAGTGTTTAATGAATAATGCGAAATTCATTTATATAAAGATGCACAATCTGCTCTGTGTACATAAAAGAATCTATGTCAACAAAGAATGATATATCAATAATATTACATTAGTGACAGTATTTACATATGTACAAAATAGTATGTAATATTTGTATGATATGAAATCTGGAAGATAATACATTTAAATCAATACATTGTATTGTGGAGCCAATGGGTTCATTATATTCTGTTGATAGAATGTGTTGACGCAATCAGAACAGATATAAAATATTCCAGAGTCTCGCAGACTATTGATTATGTACAAAAGAGGAAACTACTTATATTTATGCAATCCTCCATCATATGACTCTTGAATCAAAAAATCATTCATCATTACAACACTATAATATATCAATGCAACTTATGTATGTGAATAAGTCAGTGAGAATACAGTACATCAATTATAGTCTTCATAACTATCATATATTAGTATGTTCTTTAGTTGCTTTAACATCATGAAACATATATTCACAAAGATTACGATGTATACAAATATCTGTAAATTATAACACTTCTTCTACAGTAGTGCAAAAACAAAGAAAATGTATATCACAGAAAGGGTGTGCACTTAATAACAATCTTGGCAAAATATATTACAGCACATCTATCAGTTTAATGATGAGTAATTGAGTTTTAAAAATTGTCTAATGCTGCAAATACAGTTAAAGACATCTAAACTGAATAGCTATTATTTAATGTATTCATTGTAATACAATTCAAAGCAAGATAAACCCAAAATTCACAGTTCAACAGTAAAAGATGGACATATAAAATGAATAGCTATCATTGAATTTACTCAGTGAGGGCCTAATATATACGGTGGTACTGATATTACACATAAACTCAATAATATATGGTACATATCAGTATATCTGACAAAAGTAAAAACATTTTTTGTAAAGGGAAATAGTATTTCTATCTTTTGCAACAAGTCGATTCTGTACGGATGACAGTGATCTCAATAGGATATCCAAAATTCAAACTAATCAATTTATATAAAGAGACTATTTACACATTTAACGTTTATTTTTAATGACATTATAATACGCATTCGCTGCGTCGATCAAAGCATCTAGCAGGTATAGGTATCAGTAGTGTCTCTGTGGTGTAGTGCGGGATAACTTTCCCATTTGTTCCAACATACAAAATGACTAACATTTCACCGTTTCAAAAAGGTATGACTCAAATGGGTTTATTCTTGATAAGATGCTATCCATAATATATTTTGAGTTGTGCCCCAAGGGAAAAGGCAATTAGGAGTTATCCGCATCTAGGTCATAATCACAATTATCCCCGAACAGTTTATTGGAAATCCGCATAGACTTAGTGATCTCATATTTCACACATTCCTTACTTTCTTATGTTTGGTCCTTTTAATTTCAAACTTTAAATCAAACGTCAATGCACACTATTTAAAGTACTTCGTTCAAATGATACATAAGTTAAAGAAATAAGATATCGACCAGTGTGAGAGGAAGAAAAGGGCCTGATGGCATCAGTAGTCAATTCATAAATCTACCGAATTTAATATTATTCGATTGGTTTTTAGTCAAAAGTGATATTAATAAGCCATTACATAGGTAGATTCTGCGCATGTGCAGATAGAGATCAGACGAATATTGGATACGTGCTCATGAAAGTTGCGTCATCATTATTCACGTATGCACCGACAGTTCAAAGGAACATCGGTGGAAGCATCACTCTCAAGAGGGCTGAGAGATGTACATCCATGACTTTGGCAGGGATAATTCTAAAGTGCACAAAGTCGGAGAGCTACATGTGTAAAAGATCTGTGGATATTGGGGGTCAGGCGTATAATGGGCTAATCACAAACTGGTTTATTTAGCGCGATTACAAATACTGTTACCGCTTTCAGAAGTACAAATCTTCTCGCAAGAGTCACTAGAAGAATATGGTCACTCACGTCTTGCTTCGATTCCACAATGCAGGTATACGTCGTTTATGTAAAAGCAGTGGAAACGAAAATGATAGTTGTGTATACCTAGATACGTATACTTCGAACCTAGTGTTCATGATCTGGACGGAACCAATGATGTTTGAACCACTGCAAGAATTTTACGGGTGAGCTGGATCATTTCCTCACCTTTGGATTGGTCGCTAAAGACCTCGTGAGGAATCTGTGAGGAGGCGCATCTATCCGGGTACCGAGCCCGTTGATCACCCACGAGAGAACTGAGCTGGCGCACGTCCTGGAGAAATTCTGATGATTTTAAGTGTTCACTCACTTCACGGGCTAGACTGATAATGTTATGGGTAAAATCGTACAATCCTCTGATGGCAAGTTGAGCAGCTTTGAGGGCCTTTTCTACACTCTGGTGGCACTTGTACGCCACCCACTCTAGTGAAGGCTCATCGTGTGGGTTAAGATCGTGTTGGGCAGCACGGAGATCTTCTTGTCCCTGGCGAAGCCAACGGCGTGCATTGCGGATATCTGGTGATCTCAAAGCCTCAGTGAAGATATTCCAGTTAGCTGATCCAGAACTCCCTCTAGCCCCTCTTCCTCCAAAACCTGCTCCTCCAGAAAATCCTGATTCAAATCCTCCGGATTCAGTATACCGTCGTTGGTCTTCCCTTGCCCTCTGCTCTGGTGATTTAAAAAGGTCTTCATACGATGAACTTGTTTTTGAAAGACCCTTTCCTAGTCTTTGTAGCTCGCTCTGGAGATGTTCGGATGCTTCGACAAACATTTTTTTCGGACCTTCTGGGTGCTCGCGTGGATGCCATTTTAGTTTCAATCGGGGGAGAGCCTTCTTTGTCAGTTCCGGTGCCAGCTGCCAGATCTCCTCCAATTCTGCGGTAACCTTTCTTTTTGCCTTTTCAACATCCGTTAGAAGAGATGATTCCCGATGACCAGAAAGACACGGTCCAGCACCATTTGAGTTTACTTGGTCAGATGGAACAAACTCCATACCTGATATGGACTTCGGGATGTGGATCTTGTGCATGTCCAACACATTGGCTTCTATCGGGCTGTCCTTTCCTATTTCGATGAGATAAACTGACTCGAGCGACTCGTTGCGTATCTTCTCGACGATCACTGCGTATATGTAGTAGTCACCGTCGTCATCGGTTTGTGCGTATCCTACATAATCACCTGTGCTGAAAGACGTCCAGGGGTCGTGTTCTATGAGATGGTAGATTTTTTCTGGAATGGTACTTCCAGGATTAGGCAACTCGAAACTTGTGTCATCTTCCATTATTTCTTGAGCAATGCCGAACCTCGCTAGTGCTTTCGGTATGGTAGCTGGATATTCTTGAGATAGCAGGATAGAAATATATTTATCCTCAAACACATTTCCAAGGACTTGGTTGACATGGATTGCAACACTTAATAGTGTTTCCATTCTATGTTCTCCTTCACTATGTTGTACAAACAGCTCATTGTCACTGTTGATGAAGGAAGGCACTTCGGTTTCACTACCTTCTATGTCTTGGCCATTGATTTGCATAATCGAATGTAACTGCTGGATACATGTAATCTTCAGTCTAGTGAGGCGATCTCTAAATTGTTTCCTGGTCTCCTCGTCAACTGCCCGCCTGTTGTGTCTCATGATGGAGCAAACCGCCTCAAGAAACTCCTTTGACTGCAGGATTTGAAGTCTTCTTCCAAACTCACACGGTTCGTTTCTAGTTAAGTAACAACACTTTCGTGAATTGTTACCAGTCTTGCTCAACATTTCTTTCACTTCCGTGCTTACTGCTTTCGGTTTCATCCTTTCAGGAAGCCTGGCGATAGCTTCTTGTGCGATTTGTTCATGACTTGGATAGATCTTGACGAGTAGTTGATTAGATCTACGGAGTCGGTTTGAGTAGTGGTCGACATCATTCACTAGAAGGCGATCTGATCGTTCCAAACTTTGCTGACATGAAGGTAGATACAGGGAGTGTCCGGGAACAAATGCAGCAGCTATCTGTGAAGAATCGGTCTTTATTAACTCTTCATAAAGGCCACACGTGGCCCTGTCTACCATTTTTGCTACATTCGGGTTTGACCATGCACTCTGTCCCCTTTCGTAGAGGCTTTCAAGAACAAAAGCATATTGGCGTATGGAAGGTTTCACCGTTCCACCAAGTATTTGAAATAACTTGAAGAAAGGAACCCACTTGTTTGGCAGCTGGTAGAGAAAAGGCTCTAGATTTCCTTCCATCGTACGTGATATCTGTTCTGCTTTGACTAAGCGATGCTCATCCTCGAGCTCCAAAAAGACGATGGGAACGTTTCGCAACTCATCTCTGATGATACAGCACCTTTCACAGGGGTCTTCCTGAGAGCAGTTTTGTCCTGCGCACATGGAGGAAACGAATGTTAATATGTCCTGTAGTACACTAGCTAGATATTCAGGGTGAGATATCTTCTTGTCATTCTTCTGTTGGAGTCTGTCACATATATTCCGTAAATGTTGGAAAACACTCATAAATTCAGGGTCCTGTGTAACGCTCATTTTCTCATGGATACTTATACCACAAGGGAAGCATTTCCCAGAAGCCGTATAATATGGCAAGACGATGTTGGTGGACCATAACAGTCGTATGTGTTCGAAAGAACTTGATCCAGAATACCTCATGAGAGTTCCTTTATTCATGAAGGGTGGGTGGATAGATTTCATCTCTGTGTTGAACCCGTCACTCACAAGAAAGTCAACCATACCGACTCGCTGTAGGAAAGAAGGGTCTTTGTGAAGATCACATCTCCTTCTCAATTCCGACACAAGGGCATTGGACTTCTCTTTCATCTCCTTAAGGTCAGAGTGTGATACCTGCACCTGCTGGGCAAAGGAGAGGAATAGGTCTCTGGTAATAACAACTTGTAGTCCTATTTCTCGAAGGAATGCATGGCCTAAACAATCTATGATGCGCTTTGGTGGAAGCTGGACCTCGTTCCACATTAGAGCAAATATCTTGACTTCTGGGTCATAGAAGTCCTTGGCCTTCAGCAGTTTTCCATTTGAACCAGCTATGAAACGCAGGTTGCTTAATCCTAATCTCCAAATAGCTTCCTTCCTAGCTTCACTAAGGGACCTCTCTGTGTTATGAGGGGGTAGCTGTGGTAGTAATTCTTTGATCCGCACAAGATGTTCAAGACGACTGTCCTCGCTGAGTTGGTCAAAGACCAACAGAATGTACTTTTCATACACATCAATCTCTGTTGTATTAGACAATTCTAGCTTCTTGTATAGAGATGCAAGCGATACGTTGTACTGTAGAAATATAGCGCTTGTGGTACTAACCCATTTATCTTGTTCTTCTTTCGGAATCCCACTTGGGAGGACAAGAACTGTGTCAAAACCTCTGATACTGACAAAGTCACCTGCAATAGACATGAAGCAAGGCAGGCTCTTCAACCTCTTGAGATCAGCTGGGCTTCCACAGTTACTGAAGAATCTCAGGATTTCTTCATGTTGATGAGCTATGAGGTTACTGAATCTCCCGACGTCTCTATCAACCCAGTACATCAAAGCATCTAAAACCCTCGTGCTAGCACCCCTATGTGTGACGAGATGATGTATTAAGCTATTCTTGTCTTCGCGAAGAATGAATTTTTCGACCTTGTAGACGTTCAGTGATTCGAGTGCGGAGTAGATTGGCCAATAATCCGACTTGGTTGGTTGGACTATTATCGTAGAGGATAAACTGATAGGTGCCACAAGCTTAATTTCCTGAGGATACCGAGTTTTTGTTTCAGTGACAGGTAATATTGCCCAACGGCCAAGTTCAGCTCTGATATCGTGAGCAACATCAGTCAACTTGTTCGTCTTTGTGCAAAAGGATTCAAGAAGACTCCACAAACGTTCAAACCATTCAGATGAAAGGTTGTTCTGGAGCGTTATTATTTCATCTGAAGCACATTCGAGATAAGGGTGGCAATCATCAAGAAGCGCAGAAACTGCTCTCACATCAAGCTTACAAAAGACATCGGCATTTCGTGGTAGAGTGTCTAGAAAGTCGATTTGTAGAAACCTATGACTCTGAGGCTTGAAAAGATCGCAGAATTCTGATGCAAAGACTCGCTCATCACGTGATAACCTCCTCAAGTTCCCATCCTGAGTGAAGAGCAATGGTAGTCCGTGGAGATTGTCTTTGAAGTTAGATTTTGTTCCCTTCTTGCAGTAATTAATGAGTCCCATCAGTCTCTTCTCGTCTTGGATCCTTGACTTTGAAAGTGGCATTGGTAATTGCCTCTGAAGGGGGTTGTCTCCGCCAAGAAAACACACCACATTTGAAGGTAAAACTTCAAGAACTTCATAGTTTCCTGACTCAGGGTTCATCGTTTCCTGATTGAGATGGTTGCAAGCATTACGGAGATGGTACATTACCCATGTCGGAGACTCTAGTATTGAATATGTGATTTCGATCAATGTCTCCTTCAGTTTTTTCACATTTTCTTGATTCTCAGCTTTCAAGTAGCTAGGTAATGTGTAGTTGTCACTCATTTGGCTTGGCACTGTGTTGAAATATCCCACCTTTGATTCGTCTGGAGACTGCATGGGCACGACAGGGGTCTTCCATGTTAGGAAAAAGTCGCTGTTGCCATCATCTTTTCTGTATAGAGAAGGAAATAGCATCAGGGCTTTCGAGGCAACAATTTCGTATACACTGGCTTCAAGCGCTTTCCAGTACGACCCTTTCTCGCCGATGTTAGGAAAGAAAGTGTGGTATTTCTGAAGTAGTTTCAAAGTGTGATCTTTCTGTTCACATGACATCGATTCTGACCATTCATATTTCTTGACAAAGAATTCCTTTATCCACAACAGCAAATTCACATAAGCCGGTGCAATAACTTTCTGGGTGACATGAAAGTTCCACTTTGTTTTTTCATCTGTCTTGCTACCTTCCCACAAGTGTCTTCTACTCTCATGGTCTAAGGCGAAGTATCCGTGCACGTGAACTGGTAGTCCCGTTGCAATGGGAAGGGGTAAGAAGCAGAAAGCCGTTCCTTCGAGTCCCTCTTCTTTTCCTGTCAGACGGGCAGCAACAGCCCCCACTGGAAGTAGTTTACGTTTTCGCATTATGTTTTCTTCAGCCGTGTCTGTACTTCCTACTTGCTGACATATCACCCAATCCTCATCTCTTCCTGTCCCTTTCAATCTCATCTGGTATATGACTCCTGCTGGTTCTGGTTTCCGGGAGCCATCCTGTTCTGCGCTACTGATATCTTGAACTTTGCGCAGGAAATCCATTTTCTTTTCACCTTCCACTTCGGTTATCTCTGCTGTGATAGCATGAGTAGAGCCAATAACTCCTGATCTTGTTACCTCTGATATGCTGATTTTAGTGATGTTTTTCAGAAACAAAAGACTCTCGAATGCAGCATCCTCAAAATCTTGTAGTAGCTTCCGAATCTCTGTAGGTCGCCATACGTTTTTGTTGAGTGTCGAAGCTTCCTTCCGCAATGGAAAACGAAAAACAGTAAAGTCCTCTTCTCCATCTGCAAGTATGTCTTCCAAGTAACATTGAAAGATATCTGGGAACGAAGAACGCACACTACCATTAACTTTTATCTGAAGGCCCGGCTTAATCGGTGTTGCTCCCGGAATATATTTCAGCAGAGGGTCAAAACATGCATAATCGGTCACCATTGGAGATGAAACTTGGGCAATCCGTGAGTTGATACACGGCATTGAAACCGACCCCATAACGGCCTATCTTTCCCATGTGATCAGCTTTGCTACCTTCTCCAAGATTCTGTATCCCACGAATATTGTCATCTGTAAAAGACTTGTTGTTGAAGACACAAAGAGCAGGACCCTGCAAAGCTTTCATGTTATCGCCTAGAAGCTTCTTTCCATTATGTAAGCGAGGATCGTAGACAAAGTGGATTTGAGTTGCCCCAGCATCATCTGCATTCTGAAGAAGTTCTTTTAGTATTGTTTCATCAGACGGGTATGAATCAAGAATTCTCTTGATACGGTTTGTAAGTTCCTCATGCTGGCCAAATTCTTCTGGGAAATCCATTTCATGTGGCCAGAGCATCTGTTGTCGAACATCCTTCACTTTCAGCTTTTTTGCTAGCATAAAACTGATTCTAATGTGACACTTATGGTGTTTGACTTCGTCGTGTTCTAACCAGTTAACGTCCCTATAGCAGAGATCTGATACAGGCCTCATGCACATGTGCTCATCTGGGAGAAATGTATCTTGAATTGGTTTCCCATCATCATGATCTTTTAGGAAACTGGCAAGTCGATCGGCAGCTAGGATAGCAACCTCCAAGACCTCGTCGTCTAAAGGTTTCCCACTGCTATCATCGTGTATAGATTGGAGAACACCTCGATAGTCTCCGGCATCAAATTCCCTCTTCAATGATGCACGTTCCAGAAGAGTAGGATACTTTTTCAGGAACTGGGAAGCTTTATTTAGATACGGCGGAAGATCTCTACCTCCATCGGCAACCACAGAGGCCACTACAAACTTGCGATCTACAAGGAAGAATGATTGATTTTGAAGATCTTCCTTGGAGATGTCTGGACTATTGTCTTTACAAGCAATTTCAACACGCTCGTAGACCGCCTTGCATATCATTTGTAACTGATGACCAGAAATGCATTCAGTATTCATTTCGTAGTGACTACGAAAGTTTGAAAACTGCCTGAGTACATCTTGGACAGAGGGATATTTATCTACAAGACCAAGGAAATGCTCGACTGTCAAGGGAAGCTTCCACTCTTCTGATTCATCCACAACGTTTGACGTGCTGCTTACCAAATATGTTTTAGAATGAGAGTACACATCATTCGCAGATGCATAAGCACAAGAGTCCGTTTCCACCCACGGTAGAGCTGGATCTCTGTTTCCCTCACACAAGATAGGCAAGAATGGTATACTGGCCAGCCGTTCTTTGAGGTTTTTCTTCTTATTCCAATCACTCCCCAACATCTCCGACAGATACTTCAGTACAGCATGGCATCTCGTTTGAGCTCCTTCCATACAGCTTGAATGCAGAATGTGAACAGTCTCGCATCGTTCGACGAAAATATCCGCATGAAGATAGTCTTTCACCATTCCTAGCTTAGTTAGTGACGCCAATGTGTCGGTGGCATTGAATTTTTCTCCCAGAGGGAAAACCTCGTCAGACTCCGAGTACAAAGGCGCAGCTTTGCCTTTCGGGTGTACTAGATCACACGGTTTCCGCAGTTCAGTTCCTCCTTCTACTGGTATGCATTCTACATCTTTAAGCATCTGCTGTAGTGTGTCTTCACTTTTATTGAGTGCAAACAGAACCAGTTGATTTCTGATGTTGTCCGGCACCTGACTGATTTGTGATAGGAAAGCTTCATGGAAGAACCTGTTGAAATCATAGGTTCTCTTGAGAACTTCGTCTATCAGCTGTACTCTCTTTAGGGCTCTCCAAGTTTTCTCGGTCAATGACATCACTTCTTTTGATGGGAGATGTTCGCTTAGTACCTGTGTTACTACATCACTGACGGATGTCTCCTTTTGAACTTCTTCACTAAGGAACACAACATTCGTGAACTGATGCAATGTGCCATCTTTCCAGAACAACGATGGTTCACGGCCATCAAGCCCATGTACCATTGCCTTGTAGAAAGCATCAAACAGTGCTGAACATTCTGAAATCTTTGGTACTTCATCAGCATCCGGCCACAACTGTTCAGGAGACATATCAGATCCGTATGTGTCCTTCACTTGTTGAATAAACTCACTGTCAGACAAGAGTGCAACGTACGCTCTGCATATCACATCTGCCAGAATAATGTGATTCCATTTCTCAGATATCAACCTTCCATCGGGCACTGGCATGTGAAGACTCCATCGGTCCTCTTTTACAGCAAAAGATCCGTTTATATGTACCGGGAGCATGCTGTTAATTGAGAGGGGAAGAAAGCAGTAGACCTTTTTCTCAAATGTAGACATTGGTAGTCTATGAAAAGGAAAGGCAACTGCACCTTCAGGTGAAAGTCCACACTCTTTGCCATCCGGAGTTTTTGCGAGAGCTGCCGCCTGTTCTGAAGTCTTGCATATCACTTTGACAATGTCCAGGTCTCCACTAACTTCTGGTTTCAGTGACATCACTTCATTTCCCTTTGCAGTCATTGTGCAGCGGAATGATTCAGTTGAAATGGCCGTATTATTCTCCTTCAACCTAGGAGATCGCACGGTCTTCTCTATGGTGAGTAACTTCTCAGCCCTAGAAGGATCGATAGAATTCTCAGAAAGGTAGAACAGCGCAACCTTCTTTACCCTTTTGGTGAACACCAGGAGGTTTTGTGATGATTCCCACATTTTCTGCATCAGGTTGATCAGTTTTTCCTCATCGTAGCTCTCCTTGCATATTTGGCTTTTCTGAGCAGCTTCTTTCGAACGGAGGGGCAGTCTAAAGAGTGTTCCGTTGTAGTTGAATGGCTCATTTCCTCCACTGAGATCGAGCCCAAACACTCCATTGAAAGGCTTGAACTGATCTGGGAATCTCTGGAGTGCTTTAGTGCTATTCAATCTGAGACGTACACCGGGTTGACTCTTGTTCGGGAGAACGTTTCCAAGGTGTGTGGTATGAGGATCGAAAAACTGCATGTAGTTCATACTAACAAAACTTGGAACATCAGTTATGCGGTACACCGAGTTGAAACCGGTCCCGAACTTCCCAATCTTTTCAGCGTCCTTTTCTTTGGTGCGACCTCCAAGACGGAGAATGTTTTCAAAGTCTTGGTCTGTGAATACGGCATCGTTGTATACCCAAAGGGCTGGTCCCTGACAAGACTTCATTTCAGGATCGAATAGTTTCTGGATAGCACTTTCGTTATTTCTCATGTCGATGAGAAAGCGAACTTCCTGAGCTCCTGCATCTTCCGCATTCTGTATCATTTCACTAACGATAGCGGTGTCCGAATAGTTGTTCTTGAGAATGTTCCACAAGCGCATAGTCAGGGGTTCATGCTGCCCTGCTTGTGTGAAACCGTGCAATTCTTCTGAATCTAGGAGAAGTCGACTGACAGGTCGTACATGGAGGAATATTGCAAGGTCCATTGAGATATCTGAATGAATCAAAGCAAAGTCTTCATCGTCATCCATCTCCTCATTGTCGGTGCTTTGTCTCAACCAGTCTCTGTCCACGTATGCGCTCTCATCAACTGGAATGAGATGACATTTTCTTGTTTGCGATGGAACGATTAAGCGTACCCGAGCTTCTTCTGAGAGCTCTCCTGTGGCATGTAGATGGTGAAGGATCTGCAGTACAAGTTGGCGCTGTCTTTGTTGGAAGATAACATTTTCTCCCTGTGCGTCACATTTTCTCTTGATTTCATGTAGTATATCAACCAGAGCTTCCGAATTTGTGTCGATGTTCCTTTTGACTCCAAGCACTTCAAACAAATCCTTAAACGCACAAGTAGCCTGAGGAATAGATGCCATGTAAGGAGCTAGATCGAACGGGAGATTACCTGTACACATTTTGCTTGGTTCTGAAAAGCCGTTGCCATTCCACACACAACACTTTACTCGATCCAATATATAGTTCCTGACGTTGGAATCACGTTGCATTTCTTTCCTCAGAAATGCATAGATCTCCTTGAGCATCGGTATTATGTCTGTTACATCTTGTTCTGTTCTGTCTGTGGCATACTTCACACAATGTTTTATTTGTGCTATGACGTCCAAGATCATTGGAGTGTGGAATTTTATTCCAAGCAGAGTGAATGCTGTGGAAAACAGAACATCGTGTTGAGAAATAAAAGACTTGGAAGCTCCAGATATTAGCACGGCTTGCTTCGTTTCTATCAAAATCTCTTGAGGAGTTGTGAGAGGGGATGAAGTGTTCCCACGCCATTCGATATCCGGTGGGTAATATTCTGGTGGAGACCGTTTACAAGGGATACATCGTTTGTTCATCATGAAATCTCTTACAGTGCTGCCGTCGGCCAGTGAACGGTCAAAAAGACCAGGGTTCTTCCCGAGGAGATCGAGTAAAGCTCTGGCCTTCTTGGGGCACTGTGTTTTCTCAACAAGATCAACACATGCAACCAAAGACGTTTAAATATAATTACTAGACGGAAAGCAGCACGCGCGGAAACCATGCAGATGAATGGGATTAGACTCCGCCTCTTTTGGATCATTTGAAGACAAAATAAGCCACCGAGGCGGCTCTTTGATTGGATATGAGCCTCATGAATATGTATTTTATCGATAGTATCGTTTAAGAAACCGGATAATATATTTGACCTCATTGCGTCACTTTAATTATGCAGATTTATGCACGACGCAGGCTACTCGCACAAACTGAGAAGATTTAGTTCATTGAGAATGGGTGAGTAATTGATTGAAATATGAGTAGATTAAGTGAATTTAGTCATCAATTTTGAAAAATCTGCAATAGTCTTTGTGATCTATGGTAATTTCGTTACATTGTGAGACCGTTCTCAACAGATTTTGGGGGAAAAGAATAGGAAATTATTGCTCTTGAAATTGAACTTTGATTTTCATCGTCATGAAATAGTTTGACTGCGGTTTGCCGTCATTTCACCCTAGTACTCCAGTTAGGGGCCCGGCCGTTCCGGCAGGCCCACCCCGGGGAATTTCGGTGCTCATCTGCATCAAGATAAAACTTTCTAATCAAGTTTTATTTCAGATTTGATCGTCATCATGAATCTAATTCATCAATCATCGATTTAATTTAAATCGAGATTTTACGTTACACCTTACAATAATCTCTGAAGCATGATTTTTTTGATAATCCAAGTGAATTAATTCTTGTTAAAATCTTTAGTAGATGTTGACTCTGATGGCTTTACTTATCAGTGCCATCCGTTCGCTCAGTTGCATCCGTGTCAAATTTATTTAGACCAAAATTATCTGTGACCATTGATAATCAAACCACTCCAAATCCTATTTCATTTAGATGTAAACCTGGAACTTATTAATAAAAAGTATTCAAAAAACATCAACACTAGGATTTGTTTATTTAATAATTAGATTTTGTGTGGGTCCAGCATGCTTGTCAAGTTATCATTTAGAGTCTAGTCTATCAGTGGCGTACGCAGGATTTTTTCAAGGGGGAGGGGGGGGGGGGTTAACATTTTGAAATCGGACCAAAAATTTCGCAACGACTCAGCCAGCCACTGAATAAGCATGGGGGGGGGGGGGGTTTAGGTCATCCATTTGGATTTTTTTTTTTGTATTAAAAAACAAACAAAAAAACAACAACAACACTAAAAAAAGGGGGGGGGGGGGTTTCCAGAAAAACATACACATAAAAAAAAACTGAAAGTAGGGGGGTTTACCCCAACCCCACCCCCCCCCCTGCGTACGCTTCTGACTCCTGTTATTATACTTTTAATATAATTATTAGAGATTTTTTTCTTCTCTGAATTGTGCAGTTCATGTTGATAAATCTATTTGTTTGTGTAAGAGAAGACCCCTTGTCCACAATTATGTTTACTTATGAAGTCCACTTCTTCTTGTCTTAATAAACCAATTCTACTTAAGACTTCTTTATATCTAGGCCATATAAAGAATTTTTTAGGCACAAGTTAAATCTTCCATTTGATTTTACTTTGTACTGTGGTCCATTAAATTGGAATGTTGATTTCCACACTATATTAAAATTAAGGCCAACCATGACATGAAAAAAAGCTTTTATGCTAGATCTATTTTTATTTTGTTAAAAAGAAAGGGACGCCTTGATTGTCGTATTGATTTTGTTTTCTTTTTGTTCCAACAGATGGAAACTGATGAAGAGCTGGAAGGAGTTAACTGATGAGTAGACATTACAACATTTCTTATATTTTCAAGATGAAGCTGAAAGTCCCATGCAGGTAAAATTTTCAGGATATTTAGCACACAAATATTAAACGACCACCTATTAATTCACTAAAAAGGAAATGGAACTAAGTGTATGTTTCAAGTGTGTATAGTGGAGGAAATATTTTATTCTAGTTCTTCCCTTTCTTTGTTTACAAAGGGATTTGTCCTTATTTACAGGAGGTCCTGTGTGTAGAAGAACGATGTCTAATGCACATTCAAAGCACTACATAATAATGATAATGATCATACATGTAGGGTATACACAGGACCCCTCATTACTTTTTTTTTGTAAGTGGTCCTTTCACTTCTTGAGCAATGAAGATGAAGAAGAACACAACATAAGATTAACAAAAGTCTGTTTATACGATGAATTATGGTTGATATGTATCTATTATTATCACTTTTTAATTGAAGTACCTACATTGCTTTCTCTTATGTAGGATGATGCTTCTCTACAGTGGATGATGAAAGCATGCTGATTACAAACCCAGGAGAGGAATAAAGAACAGATATTGACAGAATCATATCTAGAGATGTGGGCCTACTGCACTTCATACAAGCAAGTGTGCTAATATACCATGTAGGTACCCCCAATAAACTATTGTAGAACACATTTATCATGCAGAAAGTTATAGATCTGACAATTATATTTTTCATTGTCCATTGACTTGTAAAAGAATACTTGACTGAATATCACAATTGTGATTTAGATTAAAACTAAAATGTCAATATACATGAAATATAAGTCTACATAACGTATGTTTCAATAGCATTATTTCCTGTACATTCTCTGTTCCAAGTTGTTTGGTCATTTTATGTAAACCGAGTATTATTCATTTATGACCACGAGTTTACATTACAAGTACATTGTACATGTACCAGTATTACTTATTTCATACTTGTCTGATCCAAGCTCCATCAGGCCTATTGTCTTAATGGGATCATCAGAAATAATCTAACATGTGGTCAGTAACTAGTCTTGTAGGAAAAAAAGTTTAGGTTTTCCCAATAGAACCCCAAGTGAATATTAGTCCTTCCTCTTTTTGTCAGAGCAGGTATCAGGGATTCAGGGTGTATGTTATTAGTTGTTGTTTATTTTCTTATACACTGTATCTTGTTTCATTTTCCCATTCAACAGACTTGGGTCATCATCACAGCCCTTTCTTCTGAAAACTAGCCTACAACTTCATTGATGAATGCAGAAGACATCTACATGGGACTACGTCTTAAAGATGCCCCCTCATATAATGAAAGAGGACAGTAGAGATGGGTTTAAACTTGAATATTTACATACTATTTATTTATTATTTGTATTATATGTTTGTAGAATACCACATTTAAAAAAAGCTAATGAATTTATCATCTTGTCAACTTTCAAATAATTAAAGATAACTAATCATCAATGAATAAACATTAATGAAATTTTAACAATGTCAACTACCATCTTATAGGATGAAACTGAGTGCTGGGCAGAAAGAAATTTCCTTGAAATTTGAGAGATAAAGATCTATCAGTCTATATCAAAGATTGAACCAATCAATGATATATTAATTATAATTATACATGTTGAAATTCATTTACCTCAGTCTATGGACTTCTGTATTTGAAGTTTTGTAGATTATTACATTATTGCTGCTTCAAGTATTGTATGTAAGAAGGTTTGAAAGACAACACTCTAAATGCACTAAATATGGAAACTGCTAATCATCATTGCCTGTTGTATCCAAACTGCTAATTTTAATAGAATCATGTTTTGATACTTCCTAGCTTAAGAAAACGGGGGGGGGGGGGCTTGTTATCCTCTTCCTGGTGCTGTTTCTAAATGGACCATGTAACAGGTTGCAAAAGTGTAAACAATATTATATTTGTTATATGTTTATATTAGAAGGATTTAGAAAATGAAAACGTTTTGAATTATAGAATTACTGTTGCTAGAAGTAATGGCAGTATTGATGTGTAAGGGAAGGGGTGGTTTTCCCAGTGAAATTAACGGTATACCAATGTCAAATTGATAAAAAAGAGAAAACTATTCCTAAAAATAAAATTATAAAGGACATGGGCCTCCCAACTAACTAACCCTGGTACCACTTCTGGGTTGTTGTTTTTTGTTTTGTTTTTTGGAGGGGGGGGGGGGCGCCCCAATTCAAAATTTCCAGTGTTAAATTCCATTGTCTTTAAACAAAAAATATGTCAAGATGTTGAAAAACAATGTTCACTTTCCGTTTTCAATTCGAATAAAATGATTAACATATTTTCCGATCTCTCTGGTCTCTACAGTCTCTACATAAAAAATGTTCAAAGCTCCTGCAAAGGCTGCAAAAAGTAAAAAGTGAAGATAATCCAAGTGAAATGTTGACAGTAATGGAGTGAATTAATATGGATCAATGGTTGATCGTAGTTGATAACGAGTAAATGTAAATGAATGGTATTACGACTGAAAGTGAGACAGAAAGGAACTGCAACAGGTTGTTCAGTCAAGACAACAAACCGTTAGTTGCAGAAGATCATTTATGAAAGACAGAGAAAGAGAGAGAAAGGGAATCATTAAGGTACGATGAGAGTGGGTGGAGAAAAACCATCCTCTTTGCCACATAATTTGTTTGTATAAAATAAGGACACTTTATACATTAGCATATTTAAAATGTATAATCATATAGCCAGAGAATGTGTTGATATATGACTTATAGCATGGTTGAGTTAATAAAACAAAAACAGACCCAGTTATTGACAGACTAAAAAGGGAATAAGATCGGATCAGTATTTCTTATTCAATGAAGTTAAGGCCACTCCCCCATATTAAAAAAACAACAACAACACAACAACGAGAGGTCCACTTCCCGATGCATTCTGGGTACACCAGCTGTTATACTGGTGATCGATAATACAAGTTCGAGCGCGTATTTCACCTAACGGTGATCGCATCAGAATAATCTACGCTGATTCGCTGAATCACTTGCGTTGCTAGCGCGCAGCGTGATGAATAAATTACCCATAATTCCGTACAGTAGATTATTTGACCTCTCTTATTACGCTGATACGCGCATTGTCTTTTACCATGTAGTGAACATCATTCCAGTACACTTTTCGCGGGGAGCATCCTACAGAATGCATAATTCATAAGGCTCATGAATTATGCAAGGTAGCTTATTTTGGCTTCTAATGGATCCGGACAAAATGGAGTAACTTCATTCTGTCCTCGCATGCCAAGCTGCTTGAAAGCTACTATGAACTGAGGTGAGTCAAATGGTGCAACCGGAAATACTCCTTGAGAGGCAAACAGTTCGTCAAGCAATGGATCCTGTGGATCAAGGAGTTCACAGGGAGACAATAAAAAATTATTCTTGTTGGGGATGAATTTCATATGACACAAAATGTCTACGCTTGACTTGCAGTTGACTTTGATATCTTCCCAGTGCTCCATTATCCACTGCAAGACGAGTCGTTTTTCTTGCTTCGTGTACAACTGCCCTGTATGAATTTCTTTCAAGACATTAATTATCACCTGATATTTTGATAATGGACAGACTTCTAACTTCTCTAGCAGACATTTAGATTTTGTTCTTCCATCAATCAAGAGCCCCGTCAACTTCAATGGAGCAGGAATGTCGTCTTCGCAACATTCGATGTACCATTCGCATTGTTCAATACTGACCAGATTTTTGTTTGGAGTTCCGGTTCCTTCGACTGTTTCAAATAGTGGTAGACAATTTAGAAATTTCTTACCATCATGGGAGAGTTTTGCCTGTGCAAGATATTCCACAAGAACATTTCTATCACCGGTGGAGAAGGAATGTAATCCCTGTTTTAGTAGTTCAACATCTGAAAGCAGAAGGCATTTAACTACCCCTTCTGATGTTGGCATCTTGATATATTCGTCACGCATGACAGCTGGATGGCTGAGAACATAATCAGGACAGTTTGTGACTGTCACTCCAATCTGTTGGATAATGTTTGCAAGATCATTTGCCAATGTGAGATAACCGTCAGATGTTTGGTGACTTCTCTGGATAATTGCCGACTTTGGGCACAGTGGTAGTAGTCTTCTACCTTCACCATCGGCCTCAAACAACGGTACAAGATGGATACCTTCAAAGAGAAGTAACTTACTTGAACTCTCTCTGTACAGCATTGACCAGACTTCTTCAAGCCATGTATTTAGAGAAGTCCCGTGTGTGTCCTGTACCCAGGATCCTTGACCGTCCATCCGACTTTTCCTACTGGTCTTTAAGAGCTCTGCTACTGCATCAAGGGTTAATGCTTTCAGCTGATAACGCCCATCTGCATATGAAATATAGAACAATTACGTTAATTTAATTACACAAAAGTCAATCATTTCTGTATTCACTATGTGTCAATATATCTGTATTGTTAAAGAAATTTGATAAACTGTCACAAAAGGTAATGACAACATTCCGATAAAGTCGAGTTTTGCATCAGTTTTAAATAGTAGGAAAATATAAGAATCAAATTTTGACGACCTCCGAATACAGAATACAGCCTATGCATGATTCGTTCAAAAGGAGAAATTTCCACATACAAATAAGAACGAAATTAATATAATTATTCCCCAGATCTCTAATTTTATCTCAAATGAGGCCACTTTCAATCATATTCTAATATGCTGAATTTCTCATCTTTACCAAAGGTAAATCGGTTGGAGGATAAAATATTGAAAACCCGAACACACCCATATTGGACAGGAGTTGATGAAGCGGTTTGTCCTCTGGTACCGTTCTGATGAATTGATGATTTCCTCCTGGTACAAGTTGTCGGTGGAACTTAGGGGTTGGTATGTACACTTTCTTGTCATCAGAACTCGAGAAGAAGTGGAAGCTTTCATCATCGAGAGGAAGAAGACATACTCCTTCCAGATCTTGTCTGGTATCCTCCCGCAAGATGAACTCAAGGACCAGAAGCTTCTCACCAGCATTGAGCTTGGTCAAAATCGCAGGATCTTCACGGAGGTAACGGCAAAGGCTGGAAGCAGAAACAGTGGATATCTGATCTTTGTAGAACTTCCTGATGGCCTGTCTGCACACATTGGGAACCCTTGCGTATGCAATGCCTTTGATGTTGAAGCACTTGAGGATGACCTTTTCCATATCTTCATCCACATTCAATTCGTTGAAGTGGACATCAGCAATGTTCATCCACCCATTGTTGTCGCTATGTATAATAGTTTCCTGGAAGAGAGCATTGTAGAAGGGTTCCAAGAGGATGTCCCAGTTTCCACAAACCTCTTCATGATCTGGCCACGATCGATAGATGCAATCGACGGTCACGCTGTCCTGAGAGGTGTGACTTCTAATGGCGTATTTGATCGCGTCGACATATACAATGGGAATAAGTTCTCTCACCAGAAGTTGGTTCCATTGTGCTGGAGTGTCCGTTTGGTCAGGTCCGGGCCACTTGATCCCGCGGCGATCGCTATTGACAGCAAAGAATCCATGCACATGAACTGGTAAACCCGTCCGACTCTCCTCACCAGGTGGCAGGGGGAGAAAGCAGAACACTCTACCAATGTTGTTATTCTCTCCTTCACCTGCTACATTGCTTGGCTCTGAAGAACTCACAGGAATAGCAACAGCTGCCCAAGGGAGATAACTTTGCTTCTCGGCCAAATCTGAAAGCTCTTGAGACATGCTATCACCCGCGATATGATGACTAACAACCCAGCGTTGTGCCTTGGATGCCTCCGGTGTTTCGGTAGTGAATGTCACACAATCAATCAACTTGATTGGCCCTCTGCGCCCACTGACATCAGAGCAGTAAGTTTCTAGACGTGAAGAAAATTCCTTTCCCGGTGGATGTGTTTCTGGATCGTGTTCCCTTCGAACTCGTACAACTAGTGATGGCTCTTGCAGATCGGATGGCCTCTCTAACACCTCGATGTTATTCAAAGAGCGCAAAAACAGCATAGCAACATCAGCATCGGCTCGAAAAGCCAGGAGGAGCTCGCTTAATGTGCCTTCATCGCTGT